GAAGGAAATTACCTCCACATATTAAAAGTCATTTATGAAAAATCCACAGCTAACATCATACTTAGTGATAAAAGGCTGAAAGCTTTTCCTCTAAGATCAAGAACAAAGCAGGAATGTCCCTTCTGGCCACTTCTATTCAACACCATAGTAGAAGTCATAGCCAGAGCAATTAGGCAAGAAAAAGAAATAAAAGGCCTCCAAATTGAGAAGGAAGAAGTAAAACTATCTGCGGATGGCATGATCTTATATGGAGAAAAGCCTAACGATTCCACACATTAAAAAAAAATCATTAAAGGCTCGGCACCCATAGCACAGTGGTTACAGTGCCAGCCACATACAACAAGGCTGGTGGATTTGAACCTAGCCCAGGCCAGCTAAAACAATAATGGCAACTGAAACAAAAAAGAAAATGGCCAGGCATTGTGGTAAGTGCCGGTAGTCCCAGCTGCTTGGGAGGCTGAGGCAAGAGAATGGCTTCAGCCCAAGAGTTTGAAGTTGCTGTGAGATGTGATGCCACAGCATCTACTGAGGGCAACATGATGAGACTGTCTCAAAAAAAAAAAAAAAACATAAAAACTAATTTAAATATCTAGTAAAGTTTCCAGATAAAAAAATCAATACTCAGCAATCACTTGGATTTCTATATATTTACAGTGAACAATCTGAAAAGAAAACATTTGCATGTATAATAGCATTTAAAAAGAATAAAACACTTAGGAAATAACTAAGGAGGTAAAAAAAATATACAATAAGTAGAAAACATTGCCAAAAGAAATTAAAGAAGACATAAATAAAAGCATCCATGTTCATGGATTAGAAGACTTAATATTATTCTGATGTTATTAATACTCAAAGCAATCTACAGATTTAATACCATCTCACCAAAATCCTAATAGCATTTTTTTCAGACATAGAAGAATTCATCCTAAATTCATATGGAATCTCAAAGGAATCTGAGAACCAAACAATTTTGAAAAAGAAGATAATGTAGTACTGGCATAAAGACCAGTATAAAAACCAATACAACAAAATACAGAACCCAGAAATAGACTCATGCATGTATGGTTAACTGATCTCAAAAAAGAGTGCCCAGGCCACTCGATGGAAAAAGGAAAATCTCTTCAATGAACAAGGTTGAGGAAACTGGATATACCCATGCAAAAGAAAGAAAATGAACACTTTTTTTACACCAAATATAAAAACTAACTCGAAATGGATTAAAGACTTAAACCTAAAAGCCAAAACGATAACATTCCTAAAAGAAAACACAGAAAAAATTTTCAAGACATTGAATTTGGCAATAATTTCTTGGTATGACACTAAAATCACAGGTAACAAAAGTAAAAATAGATAAATGGAATTGCATCAAACATAAAATTTTATATCCAGGGATATAATCAACAGAGTATAAAAAGGCAACATAGAGAATGGGAGAAAATATTTGCAAATCATATATCTAATCCAGGTAAATAGCCATCATATATAAAGAACTCCTATAATTCAACAATTATAAAATGAAATTATCTGATTAAACAATGGTGAAAAGACTTCAATTGACATTTCTTTAAAGGTGATATATAAATGATCAAAAAATATATGAAAAGATACTCAGTATTACCAATGGCCAGAGACATGAAACTAAAACTACAGTAAGCTATTCTTATACCCATTAGAATAGCTACTATCAAAAAAGAAAAATCAACAAAATAACAAGTGTTGATGAGGATGCCCAGAAATTGAAAAGCTTGTGCACTGTTGTAGGCTTATAAAATGGTGCAGTCACTATGGAACCACTATGGAAAACACTATGGAGGTTCCTCAAAAAATTAAAATAGAACTACCAAATAATCTAGCAATCTCACTCCTGGGTATTTACCCATAAGAACGAAAAGCAGAATCTCAAAGAGGTATTTCCATTACCCTGTTTACAGTTGCATTATACACAATAGCAAAGAGGTTGAAGCAATCTGTGTCAGGGTTCTCCAAACAAACAGATATAAATATGACATTTATACATATTTACATATATATGTGTATATTTGTATATTTATACATATTTACATACATTACATATATTTCTGTGTATATGTGTATATATATATGTAAATATCATGTATATTATATATAGATACATAACAGGAGATATATTATGGGAATTGGCTCACATTGATTATAAGAACAAAGAAAATGTGTGCTGTGATTCAGTCCAAGTCCAAAAGCCTGACAGCCCACATTGTACCCTAGTCTGAGTCTGAAGACTTAAAAAACAGAGAGGGCATTGGTGTAACTTCTGGAGTTTGAAAGCTTGAGAACCAGGAGCTCTGATGTCTGTAGGCAGGAGAAGATAAATGTCCCAGCTCAAGAAAGAAGGAACAAGGAGAAGGTGGGGGAGGATAGGGAAATTCTGAAATACAAAATTAACTGTCACATAACCCAAACTTCTGTGGAAGGATGAATGGACAAAATGTGGCACCTATATATAAGGTAATACTTCCATCAGTCACCCTTACAAAGGAAGGGTGACTTACATGCTACAACATGGGTGAAACTTGAGAAATTATGTTAAGTGAAAACAGTCACAAAAAAACAAATACAGTGTGATCCCATTTGTGGTATGTTAAGTAGTCGAAGTAGTCATAGAAACAGAAGGGTGGTTACCTGGAGCTTGGGAGTGGGGAGAAAAAGGAGTTATTTAGTCGTGCAATATGAAAAAGCTCTGGAGATCTGTTTCACAACAGTATGACTACACTTAACACGACTTAACTGTGCAATTAAAAATTGTTAAGATGGTAAATGTTACCATCTTAACCAGGCACCCCCTCCACTCCCAAATCAGAGCGCTGACTGGGCGTGCCAGAGTCAGCAAGCCAGATCGCCTGTGGCGCTGAGCGCCTACAGCCTACAATAGGTGCAGCCCATCAGTGCTGCTCTCACAGCAAGGGCCACACCCAGGTCGCCATCTGCCCTAAAGAGGCGTTCCAAGCCACCAGCAGAGCAGGGCCAACTGGGCCGAGGCCCACAACACGCAACAGGGACACGAGTCTCCTCACACAGCCCCTGGCACAGTGAAACGCATACCTGTGGAGCACTGCAGGACTGCTCAGGAAGCCAATGCTCGCAGCCCCAGTGTGCGCTGGGTCCCGGGAAAAGTCTAACAAAGTTTGCCGCGGAGGCCGCGGCCGCATCACCTCCATCTGTTAGCACATCACCTAACCCATTCACCCCACCATCCTCAGCCGGGTCTGGCACCCCAACGCCATGTTTCTGGCCG